TTGCGTATTAACTTGTAGGTGCACATGCCTACTTCTGCTTCTATCTTTGTTTTCTGATGGCATTCACATCCACAAGTTCAAACATCCAATATTTTGGTAGTACACTACGATATCAAACTATCCCACAACCCCAAAAAAGCTAAAGTTGTGTTTTTCATTATCTCCGAAAAACCTAAAACAAAAAATCCATGAAAATCCAAGGATGTTGACATACTAAAATTCTAAGCTAATAAGCCTACTAAACCTTCAAACCATATTGCACAACTATTCTGCAGAATTGGAATTCGCACAACGTACTCACTTTTTTGCAGATAAATTCTAATTCAGATTCCCCAGCTCGATTCCAAATGGATTCTCGTTAGCTACTATTTAGCCAATAAGAAAGGAAACTCTAAAATTCAGAACTAACCCAGGACCAACATCAGGAACCACAAACTTATCCCACCAAAAAAACAAAAGAAAAAAGATGAATAAATTCTTTACTGTCAATTCCACAAGTACTTCACAATCATCCCACCAAAAAGGAACCTTACAAGTACTACAAACCTAGCACAAATCAGAATCACTCCAACTATTCAATCAAACAATTCAAGGGAAATGGTTGAAATAAAAAAGACAAGCAAAGGTCTAAAACCTTACAGTGAAGCCAAACTGAATTGGACCCAAAGCCACAATCAAAACACAAGCTAGGACTGAGACTGAGCTATCCCTAATAGCTTGAGACGAACCCATCAAACTAGATTGCCTCGAGCCCATGCCCATTCGGTACCAACTACCAGTGTGCAAAAATGGCTTCCTCAGATCCGACCTCTCATTTTCTCCCTCCTCTCTGAAACTCATCTTTTTTTTTTTTTTTTTTTTTTAATCCAACCAAATCAAAATTCAAGAAAAACCCAGATCAAAATGGGTGATTCTTGATTGTTACTTAAGAATCAAAATAGTGTTCGTTTTGATTTTATGGAAGTTGGGAGTTGAGTTGAAGGCCAATGGATTAGGGACGAGAGAGGTGAAGTCGATCGGTTGCAAAGTGGAAAAAAAGAACAATCTTTGTGGATTTGTCGTGTCACTTTCTCATGTGTTTAACGTGGAAAAGAAATCCTTGCTGGCGACCCTTTTTTTCTATTATTTTGTTGGCATCCATGAATGCTCGTGCAGATGAGGGGGATGACGACAAACAGCAAGATCAGGCATAGTTCACTGCAATTATTATTCGATTAGAATCAACTATTATTATTATTTTTTTTTTCCACGACAAACGAAATAATTACTCAATAAATTGTCTTATGAGGCCTAAATAGACACAAAAATTACCCAAGCAAGTTCACTTCAAAGAGTCTCGGACTCACCTCCCCGACGTTTTCTTTCTGTCTGAAGTAAAAACAAAAAACAAAAAATTTGTTCATTCTGTTTGTACAAAGCTTAGATGTAACACACCACTTTGATTTTAAAGAAATTTCGGACATTTTCAGAATCAGTATTAATTTTTCGAGATCATTTTCGAAACCCAATAGGTGTTAAACAACATTTTTCTTAACCCAAGTCATATCTAGGCCCACGGAAATTCATTACCCGATTTTTCACAAGGTTTTCATTAACCCAAATCATATCACATGACAAAATACTCAACATGATTATTCAACCTCATAAAACCAAACATCATAGTTCCAACAATATGGTTCATCTAGTATTCCCAATATCAAAACAAATCATAAGTTTGAAAAAGGTTTTCACAAGCCTCAACATAAAAGGTTCAACAACACCTCATTATTCTAACGAAAGCGAAATAAATAAGCATAAACATGAGACCGACCCACTCGTCTTTCCTCGTCACCCTGCACCTGCTTAACCTACATCCGTGAAGAGCAGGTGGGGATGAGCACAAGATGAAATGCGTGCTCACCACTATGACGTATATCACAATAATAAACAATGTAAAGAATGTATGGTTGCAGCATGAACATAAATCAATTATTTTGTCACGTCTCCTAATCACATCACAACATATTACCCACGTGTACACATCTTTCATTAGCCAAGGAAAGGGGATTCCTTACCCTAACTCGTGGGGGTACGTGCCATACAACAAGACACGGCCTTTCATTAGGTCTTACGGAGACTTACCTCGCAAGTGTAACCGTATTACATCGACGGGGACAACCGTACCGACGGCCGAATCGGCTCACGCCGATAGGCTACATGGTTTACATGCATACTTAAATCATACCAACTCAACATTAAAGTAAACACATACGGCATAACAAATTTTAGATTAAAACCCACCTGAAAAACGCGGTAGAATATTACTCAAAGGCAAGTACGTAGGTCGAGAGCTCGACTTCTCAAACGCCTACATTTAAGCGAGATAATATATCAATAATCTATCTCACTACTCGAATTTAATATAAAACCCACACTTAATCAAATTAAGGTTTAAGGGTTTTAAATCAGATTTTTCGTGGACTTGGAACTCTCTCATTTTTTTTTTCGAAATAGGACTCGGAGAATTAAATTTGGAGTCTCGGGACATGACATAATTTTTCTCGAATTTTTTCTAATCTGAAAATAATTTTTATAATTGAAATCGGTACGAAAAATGACTTTCGAAACTCAAAATTAGCCTAAAGGCAAACTGGGCCGGAAATAATGTCATAATCCACTTAACACCATTATTGGGCTGCATACACAAGGTATTTGGGCCGAAAAAAATAGGCTTTAGCAGGCTGGGGAGGACGCGGGCTCGCGCGGGCTGAAGCTGGGCTCGCGGGCCTTGACTGCTGCTGGTAGGATCGGGCCTCGCGGGCGAAGGCAAGGGTCGAACCCCTGACCTTGCGCAGTGAAACAAGTGCGCATACCACTGCACTACACGCTTGATCACAACATTAAAGGAAAACTTTTTATACTAAATTGTAACAAAGGCTGCGAATTGAAAATAAAGAACAGAGTCTGGGATTGAACAGAAGCTGCTAACAAGCTAACGACTCAACGGATCTCGCGGACAATTTCCAGTGGCACCCAGGTTCGTGAAGTGAGTAAATAAATTTTCAGAGTTCCGAAATATTTATAAAAACAGGTTTATAAGGATCGAAAACGGAAAATGGCATAACCGGCTCCAACCGAACACATTTATACAAACGACGACTCGAACATAAAATCGATACTTCGAATTCGAACTAATTCATCACAGCTGCAACAAGACTCGATTTATACAATAAACGAGAGTTCCGATAATCCACGTAAATTCCCGAACATACGAAATAAATAACGAATATGAACCGACAAATAAATCGAACTCGAAAGCCAACGAAACGATTCAACGTGAACGAAAATAAACGAATGATATTAATCATTCTGAACAACAATAAACGAGAGGGTTTCGAACGGATACCCGTCTTCGGGAATATCGGGAGAACGAGTCGGACTAAGGGGCCGAATGGACGATAAGACTCGGACTTCTCGAAAGCTTCGAACACAGGGACTGTGGCTGCTGGTTCTCGACTGCACAATGGCTCTGCTGCGTGGACTTCAACGAAGAACTGGGGATCTCGTCGGAAAGAATAGTGATGCCGATGACACACGAACGGAGCTTTCGCCGGACACAATGGCCGATGGGGCTGCAGCAACGGGTCGGCGACGACATGAGGCTTCTCGGAGAACGTTGGCTAACGTCGGTCGATCGCGGGCTGCTCAGGAACGTGGCGATCGTGCGGAGAGGATGATAGTCGCCGGAAAAAGGACCTGTCTTCTCTCCGGGAAAAA